TGTTGGATTTCCTCCCTTGTGGAGTACTGTGAAACCGTTACCATGGCAACGCCACTGCACTGCACAAGAGAAGCCATTTTACAGCAGTACGGTAGAAGCCGTTTTAAGGCACAACAGGCTGTATCTTAACAGAACACACACCCCAAGGGGTTTTAGGAGTGTCTTACCCCCCACAATATTTGTTTCCAGAGGGCAAGTCATCTGTGTACCAAGTTTGGTTGAGATTGCTCCAGGCGTTCCAGAGTTATGCTGGAACGTACACACAGACGTTTTTATATATTTAGAATAACAAGAATAAAAATATTTTAAATTTTCGTCATTCGCATTTCGTTTTTGGCTCTCTTTCGGCCATCTTTCTTTCACGATGCTATTCCACCCTTTCTTGATATTTGTGTAACTCTTGTTGTCCAGTGGCGAGTTGGCTGTGGTGAGTTAGTAACAGAATAAGAGTTGAAAGGGACCTTGTAGGTCATCTAGTCCAATACCAACACCCCACTCAAGGAGAGGACCGTACACCATTTCTGACAGATGTCAGTCCAAACTCTTCTTCAAAGATTCTAGTGGTGTCCAGACACACACACACACCGGCCCCCACTGGGAAGGGAGCAAGGCTCAGCCCTGCTGGACAGTCAATTTTCTAAGTGGCTTAGACCCCCCCACACACACAAAAAAATCTGCTAAAGTTAAAAGAAGGCATTTGGAAGCAAAAGAAGAGTGGGATGAATGAAAGAGAGAGGGGACTGAGGAGAAAGGTAGCTGTGAGGGACGGAAGGCGATGGGGATGGATGGACGAGTGGAGAGATAATTAAAACAAAAAAAACAGGAAGGAAGGGAAGGAAGGAATGAGAAGAAAGGAAGTAGATAGGAATGAGAAGGAAGGAAAGGAGGGAGGGAAGAAATAGAGGGAAGGAAGGAGAAAAAAAGAAAAGGAGAGAAGGGAAAAAAGAATAAGAGGTGAGGAATGGAAGGAAGGGAGAAGAGGGATGAACGAAGGAGGAAGAAAGGAATGAAGTAGTAGGAGAGAAGGAAGAGGAGTGAGTGAGGAGGGAGGGAAGGAAGGAAAGGGAAAAGTGAGGGGGAGGAAAAGGGAGGGAGGGAGGAACAAAGGAAGTGGGAGAGACAAAGTGAGGGGAAGAATGATGAGGGAAGGAAGGAAAGGGAGGAAGGAAGGAGATAGGAATGAGGAGAAAGGAAGAAAGGAATATCGGAATGAGAAGGAAGGAAAAGGGAGGGGGAAAAATAAAGAAGGAGAAAGGAGGATAGAAAAGGAGGGAGGGAAGTAAGGAAATGAAAGGGAGGAGGGATGGAAGGAACAGAGAAGACGGGATGAACGAAGGAGGGAGGAAGAAAAAAATGAAGGAGTAGTGGGAGAGAAGGAGAGTGAGTGAGGATGGAGGGAAGGAAGGAAAGGGTAAAAAGAGAAAGGGAGGAAGGAACAAAGGAAGTGGGAGAGACAGTGAGGAAGAGAAGGAAGTGGGAGAAGAAAGGAGAATGACGAGTGGAGGGAGGGAGGGAGAGAAGAAAGGAAGGAAGGAAAAAGGAATTAATAGTGGAAGGGGAGTGAGAGCAGGAATGACAGGAAATGGAAAGGGAGGAGGGAGAAAGGGAGGGAGGAACAAAGGAGAAGTGGGAGAGAAGGAGAAGGAGGGAGAGAAGGAGGGACAGAGGGAGGAGAGATGGAAGAAAGAAAGAAGGAAAGAGGAAGGAGAAAGGAATGAGAGTAGGAGAGAAGGCAGTAAGGGGAGGGAGGAGGATAGGAAGGAAAGGGGAAAGAATGGAAGAGAGGGAGGTAGGAAGGAAGAGGGAGGAAGGGAAGGAACTCCACACATCTGCAGCCTGCCAAGGTGGAGAAATCCCCAGTTTGGTCGTAACTGTAGGCCCCATCATCCCCAGCCAGCAAGGCCCAGAGGGTTAGGGTTAGGGTTTCCCCCCTCACCTTAATCTCGTCGTTGATCTGGACGTGGCTGGGGAAGTTGACCTCCTTCTGCGTCTCCCGGAGCAGCTTCTTGAGGTTGGTGTCGTCGAAGGGCAGGTGGGCCACCACCAAGGTGTAGAGGATGACCCCCATGCTCCAGGTGTCGGAGAGGAAGGGGTTGTAAGGCAGGCCAAGAAGGATCTCCGGGCAGGCATAGGCAAAGCTGCCACAGTAGGTCTGGCTGAGGTGGGAGAAACAGCTCATCATGCGGTACGACGGGGTGGGCGGGGGCTGCGTCTGGGGGGCCACCATCTTGGAGAAGCCGAAATCCGAGATCTTGATGTTCTCCCGCTTGTCCAACAACAGATTCTCCAGCTTCAAATCCCTGCCGGGCCGAGAGAGGAGAGGTGAAGCCAAGGCCAACCACACAACTAACTGGGCGTGGCCCGCCAGCGGCCAGCAGAGCTGGCTGCAGATTCGGACAGTGAGCAGGTTGGGGAAGGAACATGGACCAGTCCTGGAGTCTGGGGAAGACTCTGATGAGGGCTCCGTGTTGGAGGCAGAGAGCGAGGCCAGAGCCGTCCGACAGTTATCAGCTGCCTTCAGAGTCGGACATCAGTGAGGCAGAAGAGCAGCTGGAGCCTGTTCCCAGTGTGCGCATGCACAGAGTTGCCAGACGACGGGAGCAGCTAAAGGAACCAGGGTCGACTTGGGAGTAAGGCCACAGGGGGGTGGCAGGGATGGTTTCCGGCAGGCACTACTCATGGCCGAGCGCGCATGTGCACTTCAATAAAAATTGTTCTGTGCATGCGTAGAAGCCAAAAACAAGATGGCGGGGCCTATGGCGCCACCGAGAGAACCGGTTCGGGGGTGTGGAAGGCCTGGGTCGCTGCTGGTTCCAGACACCCAGGTTACGAAACCACTACTGCTTCGGCCGAACCGGTAGGAACCCACCACTGGTGGATGGTGAATGGCCCCTCCCAGAGGGAATAAAAGAGGAGCGACAGGGGAGTGGAGTTTGCAGGAGACAGTTAGTTCATTCCTGCATTCTTGCCAAGTACTGGCTGGCCGCTCCCCAAGCCTGATCAAGGTCGGTAATTGTGAACTATCTAAAGGGGTTTATGGGGATGAGGACTCAGCTTCGTGCTGTTGGGGAAGCCGAGGTCAGAACACGGACCTCCAAATCCTGCCGCGCGCAGTCCTCGACTTACGACGGGGACCTTTGGAAGTTACGACAGCACTGAAAAAAAGGGACTTTTGATGACCGTTGTTCACACTTACCACCGTGTCCGCATCCTCATGGTCACGTCATCCGAATTCAGACACTTGGTGAATGATTCGTATTTGTGACGGTCCCATGGGGTGGCGTGGACATTTTTGTGGCCTTCAAGGTGGGGTGGGGGGGTCCAGATTTGCTTAACAACCATGTGACTAAGTTTAAAAACTTCAGTGATTCACTTAACAACCATGGAGGAAAGGATGTAAAAGGGGGCAAAACAATTATCTCCCTTAGCAAAGAGAAATCTGGGCCTTCATTCTGGTCGTAAGTCGAGGACGGCCTGTATTTTTCTGAAGGCGGCCAGAGTTGCGTGATTTGTAGGTAGTCCTCCACTTATGACCACATTTCTGTGGCTAAGGGAGACCGTTGTGAAGTGAGGTTTGCCCCATTCTACGACATTTCTTGCCACAGTTGTTAAGTGAATCACTGCAGTTAAGTCAATCACACGGTTGATAAGTGAATCCGGATTCCCCATTGACTTTGCCGGACAGACGGTCGCAAAAAGAGACCACGTGGCCCCGGGACACTCAACCGTCATAAATACGAGTCCGTGGAGAAGGGTCTGAATTTTGACCACATGGCCATGGAGAGACTGCAACAGTCATAAGTGTGAAAAATGGTCATAAATTGCTTTTTCCAATGCCGATGTAACTTTGAATGGTCACTAAATGAACCGTTGTAAGTCAGGGACTACCTTGTATCACCCATTTCCCAATAAAAGTAGCCCTCCATTGCTAAGGAACTCGGGGAAGGGAGGAGGGAGGGAGGGAAGGAGAAAGGAGAGAAAAGAAGAAGGGGGAAAATGCTATAAAAGAGGAAGGAAAGAATGGATGGTGGGAGGGAGGATGGATAGAAGGAAAAAAGGGAGGGAGGGAAGGAAGTAAGAAAAGAGGAAGGAAAGAAGGGATGGAGGAAGGAGAAGAAAGGAGAAAAGAGGAAGGAATTAAAGGATGGTGTCAGGGAAGGAGGGAGGAACAAGGGAGAGCGAGGGACGGAGGGAGGGAGGAAGACAGGAGGACAGAAAGAAAGGGAGGGAGGGAGGAAGATAGAAAAGGAAGGAAAGGAGGGAGGTAAGGGAGGAAGGAAGAAAGGAGAGGGAAGGAGAAAAGAAGGAAAGAAGGGATGGGAGGGATGAACAGGGGAAGAAGGGAGGGACGGTGGTAGGGAGGAAGATGGAAGGAAGGAAAGAGAGGGTGGAAGGAAGAAAGAAAGGGAGGGAGGGAAAGAAGTAAGAAAAGATGAAGGAAACAGAGGGGGAGAGGGTGGAAGGGAGAAAGAAAGGGAGGGAAGAAGGAAAGAAGGGAGGGTGGGTGGATGGAAGGGAGGGAGGGAAGGAAGGAAGAAAAGATGGAGAAAACGGAGGGAGGGCAGAAGAAAGAAAGGGAAGAAGGAAAGAAGGGATGGGAGGGAGGAACAAGGAAGAGAGGGAGGGACAGTGGTAGGGAGGAAGACAGAAGGAAGAAAAGAAAGGGAGGAAGTAAGGGAGCATACAGAAAGGAAAGAAGAGAGGGTGGAAGGGAGGGAAGTAAGTAAGAGAGAGAGCGAGGGAGGGTGGAAGGAAGGAAGAAAGGAAAGTAGGGATGGTGAGATGGAGGGAGGGAGGAGGCACAATGGATGGAGGGACAGTGGTAGTGAGGAAGTCGGAAAGAAGGAAGGAAAGGCAGGAAGGCAGAAAATGGATAGAAAGCAGGGAGGGAAAGAAGGAAGGAAGGAAGGAAAGAGGGAAGGGATGGAAGGAGGAAGTTTCACCCATAAACTTCCCAAGGTTGGGAAAGATTTCCTGTGAAAACGAAAGAGAGGCAGTGTGGTGTTCGATTCCTGAGTGGCCTACCTCAAAGGCCCGGAAGAACATTGACTCCAACGGAATCAGTCGAGATCCCGATTCCGGACCTCCGTTCGAAAGCCAGCCAATTAAAAAACCCCAAGGAAGCCTTGAACTCCCCACCCCTCCCCTCCAATCCCTCTCACCGATGCACGATGCCCTTGCCATGCAGATAGGCGATGCCCAGGGTCAGCTGCGAGAACCACTTGCCAGCCAGCGCTTCCGAACAGGCCCCGGATTTCTGGATCCATTCTAAGACATCGCCGCTTGGTGCCAACTCCATGATGATGTAATGGCGGGAGGTGGTCTCGATGGCCTGGTAGAAACTGATGACGTATTTGTGACGGAGGCTCTTCATNCCTGTTCCCAGTGTGCGCATGCACAGAGTTGCCAGACGACGGGAGCAGCTAAAGGAACCAGGGTCGACTTGGGAGTAAGGCCACAGGGGGGTGGCAGGGATGGTTTCCGGCAGGCACTACTCATGGCCGAGCGCGCATGTGCACTTCAATAAAAATTGTTCTGTGCATGCGTAGAAGCCAAAAACAAGATGGCGGGGCCTATGGCGCCACCGAGAGAACCGGTTCGGGGGTGTGGAAGGCCTGGGTCGCTGCTGGTTCCAGACACCCAGGTTACGAAACCACTACTGCTTCGGCCGAACCGGTAGGAACCCACCACTGGTGGATGGTGAATGGCCCCTCCCAGAGGGAATAAAAGAGGAGCGACAGGGGAGTGGAGTTTGCAGGAGACATTTAGTTCATTCCTGCATTCTTGCCAAGTACTGGCTGGCCGCTCCCCAAGCCTGATCAAGGTCGGTAATTGTGAACTATCTAAAGGGGTTTATGGGGATGAGGACTCAGCTTCGTGCTGTTGGGGAAGCCGAGGTCAGAACACGGACCTCCAAATCCTGCCGCGCGCAGTCCTCGACTTACGACGGGGACCTTTGGAAGTTACGACAGCACTGAAAAAAAGGGACTTTTGATGACCGTTGTTCACACTTACCACCGTGTCCGCATCCTCATGGTCACGTCATCCGAATTCAGACACTTGGTGAATGATTCGTATTTGTGACGGTCCCATGGGGTGGCGTGGACATTTTTGTGGCCTTCAAGGTGGGGTGGGGGGGTCCAGATTTGCTTAACAACCATGTGACTAAGTTTAAAAACTTCAGTGATTCACTTAACAACCATGGAGGAAAGGATGTAAAAGGGGGCAAAACAATTATCTCCCTTAGCAAAGAGAAATCTGGGCCTTCATTCTGGTCGTAAGTCGAGGACGGCCTGTATTTTTCTGAAGGCGGCCAGAGTTGCGTGATTTGTAGGTAGTCCTCCACTTATGACCACATTTCTGTGGCTAAGGGAGACCGTTGTGAAGTGAGGTTTGCCCCATTCTACGACATTTCTTGCCACAGTTGTTAAGTGAATCACTGCAGTTAAGTCAATCACACGGTTGATAAGTGAATCCGGATTCCCCATTGACTTTGCCGGACAGACGGTCGCAAAAAGAGACCACGTGGCCCCGGGACACTCAACCGTCATAAATACGAGTCCGTGGAGAAGGGTCTGAATTTTGACCACATGGCCATGGAGAGACTGCAACAGTCATAAGTGTGAAAAATGGTCATAAATTGCTTTTTCCAATGCCGATGTAACTTTGAATGGTCACTAAATGAACCGTTGTAAGTCAGGGACTACCTTGTATCACCCATTTCCCAATAAAAGTAGCCCTCCATTGCTAAGGAACTCGGGGAAGGGAGGAGGGAGGGAGGGAAGGAGAAAGGAGAGAAAAGAAGAAGGGGGAAAATGCTATAAAAGAGGAAGGAAAGAATGGATGGTGGGAGGGAGGATGGATAGAAGGAAAAAAGGGAGGGAGGGAAGGAAGTAAGAAAAGAGGAAGGAAAGAAGGGATGGAGGAAGGAGAAGAAAGGAGAAAAGAGGAAGGAATTAAAGGATGGTGTCAGGGAAGGAGGGAGGAACAAGGGAGAGCGAGGGACGGAGGGAGGGAGGAAGACAGGAGGACAGAAAGAAAGGGAGGGAGGGAGGAAGATAGAAAAGGAAGGAAAGGAGGGAGGTAAGGGAGGAAGGAAGAAAGGAGAGGGAAGGAGAAAAGAAGGAAAGAAGGGATGGGAGGGATGAACAGGGGAAGAAGGGAGGGACGGTGGTAGGGAGGAAGATGGAAGGAAGGAAAGAGAGGGTGGAAGGAAGAAAGAAAGGGAGGGAGGGAAAGAAGTAAGAAAAGATGAAGGAAACAGAGGGGGAGAGGGTGGAAGGGAGAAAGAAAGGGAGGGAAGAAGGAAAGAAGGGAGGGTGGGTGGATGGAAGGGAGGGAGGGAAGGAAGGAAGAAAAGATGGAGAAAACGGAGGGAGGGCAGAAGAAAGAAAGGGAAGAAGGAAAGAAGGGATGGGAGGGAGGAACAAGGAAGAGAGGGAGGGACAGTGGTAGGGAGGAAGACAGAAGGAAGAAAAGAAAGGGAGGAAGTAAGGGAGCATACAGAAAGGAAAGAAGAGAGGGTGGAAGGGAGGGAAGTAAGTAAGAGAGAGAGCGAGGGAGGGTGGAAGGAAGGAAGAAAGGAAAGTAGGGATGGTGAGATGGAGGGAGGGAGGAGGCACAATGGATGGAGGGACAGTGGTAGTGAGGAAGTCGGAAAGAAGGAAGGAAAGGCAGGAAGGCAGAAAATGGATAGAAAGCAGGGAGGGAAAGAAGGAAGGAAGGAAGGAAAGAGGGAAGGGATGGAAGGAGGAAGTTTCACCCATAAACTTCCCAAGGTTGGGAAAGATTTCCTGTGAAAACGAAAGAGAGGCAGTGTGGTGTTCGATTCCTGAGTGGCCTACCTCAAAGGCCCGGAAGAACATTGACTCCAACGGAATCAGTCGAGATCCCGATTCCGGACCTCCGTTCGAAAGCCAGCCAATTAAAAAACCCCAAGGAAGCCTTGAACTCCCCACCCCTCCCCTCCAATCCCTCTCACCGATGCACGATGCCCTTGCCATGCAGATAGGCGATGCCCAGGGTCAGCTGCGAGAACCACTTGCCAGCCAGCGCTTCCGAACAGGCCCCGGATTTCTGGATCCATTCTAAGACATCGCCGCTTGGTGCCAACTCCATGATGATGTAATGGCGGGAGGTGGTCTCGATGGCCTGGTAGAAACTGATGACGTATTTGTGACGGAGGCTCTTCATCACCTGGAAAAGGAGAGAAGGCGTGTGTGTGTGTGAGCCGAGGTGGCGCAGTGGTTAAATGCAGCACTGCAGGCTACTGCTAGATCAGCAGTTCAGCGGTTCAAATCTCACCGGCTCAGGGTTGACT